CATGTCTACAATATATATTTTTATCTATTTCATTTAAAAAATTTCAAAAATAATTATCATGACAAATGGCACTTTTCTATGGTACATCACTTAAAAATTTTAAAATATAACTATGATGAATAGTTAATCAGAGCATTATAATTTAAAGAAGCTTTAAGTAACTTTCCCGCCTATAATATTAATATATACTAAATGTTATTTGACTTTCGGTCGAAAAAAATGATCTAGATAATTCGGTTAGGGGTGAAAAAAAGCAACCCTAACTTTAAGTCGTCTTTAAAAAAAAAGATCCATATTTTGGGTCGGATTGAATAAAACGACCCGAACTTTGAGTTGGAGTCGAAAAATACGACCCAAACTTCAAGTTTGAGTCGAAAAATACGACCCAAATTTCAAGTTTGAGTCGAAAAATATGACCCAAATTTTGAGTCGGAGGCGTAAAAAACGACCCATATTTTGGGTCGGAGGCGTAAAAAACGATCCATATTTTGGGTCGAGGTCGTTTTTTTCGGCTTGGACTTGGGTCGGAGTCGAAAAAAACGACCCATATTTTGGGTCGAAGTCGTTTTTTTCGGCTTGAACTCTGGTCGAAGTCGTAAAAAACGACCAAAACTTTGAGTTGGAGTCGAAAAAAACGACCCAAAATTTGGGTGAGCTCTGTTCGAGCCGACTCGGCTAAGCCGATTAACAACACTAGTAAAGAGCACAAATTAAAATGAGTTATAATGATTAAAAAAAAATTATATAAATAAATATTTTAAAATAGGCATTTAAATATATTATGCTTTATATGCATGCAAACCTGTTATTTAATATCTGAGCTCGAATTTCAACTAAACTAGAATTTTTTACTCAATTTTTTGTGAATATTTTTAAGCCTCCTAGGTTAGGTTAATATACATTTTCTTTGGGGCTTGAATCTCAGCGAGGCCCATATTTCGTGAATCTTTTATCAGAAATTCAAGTTAGGATGTGCTACGGTGTATGATATACAGTGACCCCTACACTTTTTGAGGGATAGAAGCAGAATACCCCCCTAAAGTACCCCCCCCCCACCCCCAATGTAAATTATTTTTTGACACCAATAAATTTCAAAAATAATTTTTATTGCATCAATATTTATTATAATATAAATATAATGTAAAAAATATATGCTTTAAAAATATTATTTTTAAATTAATAATTTAGATAAATTAGGGGAAGAGAAAGCAAAAGAATTTATAATTTCATCAATATTTAATTGTTTAAATAAATTATTTTCCATTGATAAAATGGTTAAAACAATTAAGAAATGGATCTTTCATGACACTACGAAGTCTTTTTTAATTTTACTCATGACCCTTTCGGCAGTACATGATGTAGTAGGAATAGTTAATAAATATTTATATAAAATTGTTAAATTTGGGAAAGCAGAAAAATTTATAAGCAGACGATAAGGTAAAATAAATGAATAGTTTCTCCAGTCTGAATCATTCATCTCAGAATTATTATCATCATCAGATAAAGCTAAATAATGTATTAGTAAAAATATTTTAATTAAATAAATTTACAATTCTCAGAATCTGACAAATCTTCTTTAATCTCTAGGTCTCGAGTAATAATTACGTCCCCCGTTTTAGCCATTTTATAAATATTTCTAAACATCAACATTTCCTCAAAAACTTGACTTGCATTTAATTGATAAAATTCACAGATATCCTTGATATCATCTTTAACAATTGCCTTTTCCGCCATTCCCTCTGGAGTAAAAAATGATGTTTGACTCAAAAATTTTATCGACTCATCGTTAAATCTTTCACTAAACTGCATAATAATTAAATCAAGTGCAGCATAAAACACACTGATTTTAAAGCTAAAATAAAATATTATATTTAATGATGAAAGTATATATATACCTCTCCTTTTTGGATTGTAATGTTTGAAGTCTTGAACTTTCAAAATCAAAAGGTAAATTTCTCTTCTCCATAAAATCTTGGGCCTTTGAAAAGACATCCAAAAATTCAGTGTTATTATCAATTTTAGGATTATAAAATAATAAAAGATAATAATTTAAATTATACTTCTCATATTAATCAGGCAATCTTTTGCCAATTGAATTTGATTTATTGCAAACCCTATATCCTTCGAAATGGTTTGCAATTTTGTACAAGCCAAGCTTGTTATCAACAATATTTTATCCAAAACACATAGTGATAAAATAAAATCAAATTTTTCTATTCTATAGACTAGAGCACTAGCCATAGTGGAAGTGGCAGGATCTTCAGAATCCTTTAAATTTGCCAAAGCTGCCCTCAAAGCATCATAAAGTAGGAAAAAATTTACAATGGCCTTATATGATGTTAGCCAGCTTCTATAAATATAAAATAAACATTATATATCGAAACAATTAAGATAATATTACCGAGTGGTATTCTTGATGCGTAAAAATCTATGTGATTTTGTCAGTAAATCACTCTGACATGTTTTGAGCACTTCATATCTTTTAACACCATTAAAATATACGTAAATTTCGTCTAATATTACCAAGACATTTCGCAGCTCTTTTACTGATTGGCATAATTGAACAACTATTAAATTTAATCGATATAGCACCAAATAAAAGCTGCCTTTGGCGCCTCCGCCCTAATCAAAGCCTGCACTCCATTAATTCTTACACTCATGTTTGAGGTGCCATCATAGCTTTGCCCCACTAGGAATTCGAGGGGTAGATTCATGGAGCCAAGCTTGGATATTATATTCTTTTTAATATCGAGGCCCGTTGTATTTCCCGTACAATAAATGTCTAATCAGCCTTTCAACGGGCTTAGGTGTCTCGCTATTTTCAACATATCTCACTATCAAAGCTATTGCTTCTGATTTCGATACATCATATGTGCCATCATCTATAATTGAATAGAACCTGTTGAATTCAATCTTCTTTTGAATTTTTTTATAACCATATTTTTCATGGTTTCAATAAGAATATTTATGTTTTATATGATAACAGATTTGAATATAATTTAGATTTTAATCCCTTAATTTTTTTCTCACTTCTTCTTTCTTCATTATCTTGTATATACATTTTAAGAACAGGCTAGAATCTGCAATAAGTTTAATAAGGCTCATCATATTGCCATCTTAATTTTTAATCAAGCATTTATATTTTTTTTGGTTAATATTTTTGGGCATATTTTGACAATGATCTAGAAATTATAAATGATTATATATAAGATTAAATATTTAAATTTTTACTATTCCCTTTGATAAAATTTTAATTTTGCGCCAAATCTTGAAAGTGGAAAAAAATTTTAAGATAAGAAATATCGGATAACAAACTAATTTGCTAAACATCGACCATAAAAATTTTTAAAAAAATAAATAAAAAAATTTAAAAAAAAAAGTACCCCCATAGAAATTTATAGAATCAGTTGCTTCGGACCCTCCCCCCCCCCGTTGTAGGGGTCACTGATGATATAGAGCCGATCAGATGATAATTATGATTTAAGGTAAAGTGGATCATTAAAAAAATAATAGAATTTGATCACTGTTTTTGTTTAACAATTGCTAAATAACAATAGCAAGCGATATTTATCATCACTGAGTTTGTTCAATGTGGAATATCTTTTCTTAAATTGCTAAAGAATCACACTGATAGTAGGAGACCTACCAACACTGATCCAATCAACGTAAAGGAATATTTATGAATCATTTATTTATTTTTTGAAATTTTTCTTGACTTTGGACTCACCCCTCTGAATGCGTATTTTTAAAGATGCGCATATAATTTTTATTTCTAATTAACTTTGATTCTCTATCTTCAATGTAGTATGAAAAAGTTCGATTATTTAACAAATTTTATTTTTATACCCTTAATAAAGATAAAGGGATTTAAATTTAACATTAAAAAAAATATTCTAGAATTTTAGCTGGGAGGAGGGAGAAGAGTTCAACCTATCCTAGAAATTTGGAATGGGGGCTAAAATTAGAGGAAATATTAGACGAGAAGATTAGTCCTTCATAGCTCCCCTCAAAATACCTTCTTGGCTTTAAAATATTTTAGGTGGTCTGGTTCGTCTTATTTTAAAATATTCTTTCTGTTTAGACCAGTCTAGCCAAAATACAAACACGGATATTACATTTGTTTTATTTTAAGTGTGTACTATAGTGAAGAGGTAGGATTTATGGGGGGGGGGGGGTTGTATAAATTTTTTAGGAGGAGGACTTAGCCACCAAATTTGTAATTGTCCTCTCTTCAGCCAGTTCTCTTATAAAAAATTATTTCTTATATCTTATTAATTTTCCTATAGTTATTTTTATTTTGCTTTTTAAATTATGTAATATCTTTATAACATCTCCGCGAAGCTGACTCAACAATTGGAAATACTACACTAATTCTAAAATCTATGCCAACAATTAGTATTTTATTAGGGACTACAAGTTCCTACTATAATAGCCAGTATAAAGGAAAAATTATTAGTAACAAAATTTTGCTCAACTATACGATTAAAAAGCGCTGAAAGCATTTATTTGAAATTTATCAAAGTTTAGTGCTACACAATATATTTTTAATGGCATCATGCTAGAATGGAAAATATTGATGAACTTAATATCTGTTTTGATTTTTAGCATTGTTAATTATAAATTTTAAATAAACTAATAAACTTTGAGAACCACAAATATTAAACCAAGTTAAAAATAATAACTTCATATGAGTGTTTAAGAGTAAAGTGAGCCAAGCTTTTTAAAATATTGATTTTTTTAATTTCAGGATTATTGCACATTATATGCCCTAACTTGGTCTTAGATACGATCTTGGACCAACTTGTATAACATATTTGTATGTCATTGTTGTAGATGGACCCCTTACTATATGAGATTATCATCATAGGTATTTAATTTTTTTAAGACAATCAGATGCAAATTTTTATAATGTATATTTATGCTCAATCATATTTGAAATAAATTGAATGCGAACCGAACTATTTAAAAAAAATATAAAATGCGAAAGTAATAAATATTCATTCATCAATCCTTATATCGCTTGAATAATTTCAAAATGTCTCGTCACAAATCAAATGACTCAAGAATATATATTGGTAATTTACCACCTGACATCAGGAGCAAAGATATTGAAGATATATTTTTTAAATATGGAAAAATTGTGACAATAGATCTCAAAAACAGGAAAGGTCCACCGTTTGCTTTTGTTGAATTTGATGATCCTAGGTACAAAATTTATGCTAAACTTTTTACATAAAATACTATTATGATTAAGAATTTTTCTGAGCATTATAATGTCCATTTTTTAAGATAAAATTTAATGCTAGATTTTTTTTAAAATGTCATTTATAAATTTTAAATATTAATAAATAAGATGCTTGTCTTTATTAAACTATCTATCTTTAATCCACATTAAAGGCTTTATTACCAAGGAAGAATTGATTTTATTTAAAGTTTTGAAGGATATTGATACAAAATTTATATATAAATAGTAGTTAAATGTTTCTTTTTAAATTTAACTAGTAATTCATTTATTTTCCTCTTTTAAAATTAACTAGTTTAAATATAGGAATATATTATTAATAAACATTAGTTGCCACCAGTTTTAAAATTTGTCAATTTTTTTATTCTTTTTAAACTTCATTTCAAGTTTAATTTAAAAAAAGAAGTATATCAATGCCAAATATGTTAAAGAATCTGAGAGAATTTAATTCAATAAATTATGCTATAAAAAATGAATGACAAAATTTTAAGTTTAATAAAATAAAACTCATTGGATTTCAATCCTTAAGTATGGTTTTGGGTCATCACCAAATTCAACATGCAATACCTCTATATTAATTTTTTTAATATTTAGATTTTTATATTTTTCTTTGGGCATAATTATTAAAAAAATGCTCCTTTTTTTATAGAATCAAATTTTTTATATATTTCTCTTGTATATGTGGAATCTCAATTCTAATTCATTTGATGGGGTGATAAATTAAATTTTAATATTTGACAGGAAATTTATTCCAACTTGTCTAGATTACTCACACTGAATTTTAAACAATATTGCCATAAAGTTTCCAACTAATCTTAATTTATATTAATTTTTAAATCGATTTTATTATATAAATTTAAAAATTCAAAAAGATTTATGGCAAAAATTTATGGTTTAGGTAATTTAGACTAATATTGTTTAAAATATCCATTATTGGTCAATTTAAAAAAGGCCCGATTTAAATTTTAGTCAGAATAATATTATGTAAACCTTGAGATTTGGCAAATACAAATCCAAACTTTTCTGCCATCTATGAGCAAATCTCTAGGCTTACATCATATTATTTTGGGAAATTGTTTATAAAAATTGTCCTAAATTAGGCATTACACTGCTTTAAATATGTTGGAATCAAATTTTTCTAATTTAAAATTGAAAGATTCCAAATTCTTACTGTTTCAAATTTTATTAATTTTTCAAAATTTATATTATTGTTAAAATTTAATTTACATGTCAATTATTTTGTTTCATCTTTATTGATAGATATTTTTATCAGGCAAACCTTTCTATCATCTTTATTGATAGATATTTTTATCAATGCAAACCTTTCTATCATCTTTATTGATAGATATTTTTATCAAGCAAACCTTTCTAATTTGGCCAATTCCCTTATTTCACCTAAATTTTGAGTTCCAAACAAATTCCTATTAACTACTATTAGAAAATGCTCTGACAAATTAGGCAACAGCCAACTTTTCGAAGTTGACAGATTTATCCATTGGTGTAAGGCCTTTAAAGTAGGCATTTGTTGTTTTATATTGCATTCATTCCTTTTTTATATAAAATTTTATTATCTTTTTATACATGTCAAATAACAAAATTAATAAAGAAATTAAATACAACTGTTATCATTATTTAAAAATATTTTTTAAATCATATTCATTGAGAATATGCTAATAAAAAGATTAATATTTTCTAAAGGTGTTCAAAATATTTATAAATCCATAGAAGACATTATCAAATGCTGTTCAAATAAAACATATTATACCAAATAAACAAAGACTATTTTATTTTATTTCATAAATTAATTTTTATTCTTATTTTGTATACAACCATTTTATAATAATTATATATGTATGTACATTCTTATTGTAAAATTTATGTATAAATTAGAAGTGGGAGTGGGCTGAGTATGAATAAAATTTTAATTTTGAACAATGATTGAGTGTGACAGGCTTTTTTTAAAAAAAAAATTGATTGGGCGTGATTAGAAATTTAGTATGTATTGTGGAAAATTTTAAAAAGTAATATTTATAAACTTAACCTCTTTAAAAATATATTACCCCAGAAACTACTTTATGAGACTATTCAAAACGGGATTCTTTTATTGAAATACAAGAATTTTCACAAATTATAAGAAAAATGGAATAAATTATTAAAAATTTCTAACATTTTTTTTATTTTAGTAATTGAGCTTATTTTTATTAAGTTTTCGAATTTTGTCGATTTTGAATCCTTAATTTTTTCAAATAAAAAGTTAGTGCAAACCAGTTTGGCTTCCAGTGAACAATTTTTTTCAATAGTCAATTATCGTTAGACGAATGCAACTAAAATAAAAAATATTAGAATTTATCAATTTTTAATTAAAGATTTTAATTTATATATGTGTTGATTAGTGAATTCCCCATGTAAAATTATGGCAATAAATAAGGGAGAATTATAATATTTATAAAAATAAGCTATGAATTTTTTGGGTGTGATAAAAATTTTGCCTTTCGAGAGTGAACAGATCAAGTTAAATAAAATTGAACATCAAACGGGAGTGGGTGAGGTGTGAATAAAATTTTAGGACCACACCTACCTCTAGTATACTTACCTAATTTTATTCATTATTTTGATGAATTAAAAAAAATTATTTGAGAATAGTTGAACATAATCTCGTTTTTGCTAAACTATAAATATAACAAATGGTAAAATGTACTATTTAAAAATAAAAAGTATTGATAAATTGGCCAACCCTCTAAGTTGGGCACTTGGTCCCAACGGTGCCCATATTAGACAGGTTTGCCTGTATATTTGAAATAGTTTTAGTTTACATTACAATTGATTCTCATTTCTTGAACTTTGTATTTGATATATGAACAATTGGTTCTGCAATATAGAATTTCACCAATTCAAATTTCTATATATTTGATATCGAACATTTGATTCCATCATACTTGAATTTTTTATATATTAGATTTGGTTCCCAGTTATATGGGAAAAACTGAAAAACTGTCAATAAACAATGAAAAAGAAGTCCCATTACAATATATTTTTATATATCAGGTCTGCAAACCCTGCGCCAAGTCAATTTTTTTATTGGGGCCAGGCTGGGCAAAATTAACGGGCCAGTCTGGGCAAAGTTTTTTATTGTATAGTTAAAAATAATAAAATAAATAGGTTTCTGTTGGTGATTGCCATTTATAACATTTTCTTGATTTTTCCCACTCATAAGAGGTTCAATTTATATAATGTATATACATTTTTAACAAAAGGGATGCTGAAGATGCTGTTCACGCCAAGGATGGTTACAATTATGATGGATACCGACTTCGCGTAGAATTTCCTCGAGGTGGTAATCCAACAAACGGAGGAGGTAGAGGTGGGGGCGGAGGAAGGGGAGGTGGTAGTGGTGGCTTCCGAGGAGGTCGTGGAGGTGGTAGTTATGGAGGAGGCAGTGGAGCTGGAAAAAGAACCGAGCACCGCGTGCTTATTACTGGTATATTAAGCATTTTAGGATAGAATGATTTTTTTTACTAAAAAAAATTTTCGAGTCTTAAATGAAATGGTGCCATACGATTAAGGAAAAATTATTTTTATAATTAGTTCAAATACCCAATTTAGCCTTATAATTTTTTAAGTTTTAATTATTCGTTTTTTAAGTTTTACTCTCATTTGTGCCTTTTTATAGTTTAGAAAAATGAGTTAATTGAGTCACGTCATTACTGCTAAACTTTATCTCCAAAGGCATTGCCGCGAATGTCTATTACCATACTTCTGCGAACTCATTACCACCTCTATAAAGGCCTGATATGATTTGAGGTTAAGTATATAAGCTAATGAATTAAATTTTATTTAAAAAAATGTGTTATGTAGTTTTTTTTATGGTAATACATTTGTGAGACTTTTTTTCTTATTAATACATTCTAATTCTCTTGCATCAACGATAATTGACATTTGCTTTTATATTTTTTGCATTTCACAGATAAAGTTTTACAGTATGATAGAAAAAAAGAAATTATTTCTTTCTATAGAAGTTGGTGCATTCTGGCACGAACCTGCATATGAAAATTTTGACCCAGCTTGTAAACATATTTTCAACAATTTATCGGACCCAGCCCTAGATATTTTTCCATCCTGGGCTGCCACAACTTCTTGTATGGCATGTAACCCCTTTAGCTTAATTTGTTAAATGCCGATTCAAATATTGGTGTATGATTTTAAATTTTTTTAGTGCATATTATTTTATCTGCTACCTCAAAGGTAAATGTCTATATAAATCTTAAGAGTCATATATCTCATTAAAAGTCCTACTGATGATATGATAAAGTTTTTTCTGATCTTTTTTGATTTCTAAGATTACACGGTTCATTAAATCACGAGGATGATCGAAGGACCCTCCAAAAACACAAAATCCTGGAAGAATCTAATCTTTGTTTAGAGAAAGTTTTATCCCTGGACTTTTTTTTAAAATAATATTTCCTTAATTGTCTAAACGATTTATTGTGATGAAGAGAGTGAATAACCCACGACTAAATTGCTATAAATTTTTTATTTATCATTTTAAGGCTTACCTCCTACAGGCTCCTGGCAGGATCTGAAAGATCACATGCGAGAGGCTGGCGATGTTGTTTATGCCGACGTATTCAAAGACGGGAGTGGAGTGGTGGAGTACTCAAGCAGAGATGCCATGAAATATGCACTGAACAAGCTTAGCGACACCAAGTTCACCTCCCACGAGGTTTTAAATTTTTTTTGCTCTTGTCGCATGTAAAAATAATTTTAGATACTATAAGATTAAAGAATTAAATTGTTATTGCAAATGTTTAATAATTTATTTATTATGTCGTATCTTTTAAAAAATTTTGCCAACTTACTATGTTATACTGATTTATTTTATGGGTTTTATCTTTTAAAAAAAATTAGTTAAAAATTGTGACGTCTACATGAATAAAGATGGAAATAATATTATTATCAAGGCTTCGAACCGTTAAGTAGTAATATCAGTTCGTTTCTGTTTTTAGTTTAAAATTTTATAAAGGTTTTGTTCCATTTCTGTTTTTTTAAGGAATTCATAGCGGTTAGGTTTATAATTTATAACTGTTTTCGGTTCGTTTCGGTTTTTATAAATTTAATTTTTATAAAAAATTAATCATAAAATAGAGAAAATTTTTAATTTATATTTTTAAAATTCCTTATTTAATTTAATCATTAAGATTATTTCTTATAATTAACTAGTAATTTGTCTAATCTCTATTAAATTGAGTATATAAAGTAAAAAAAATAAACTTGGTTTGATTGATATTAAGATAATGGCGATTTAATTGCAAAAAAAATATAATTTGAAAATAAATCGCGAATTTGAATTGTTCCCAAGGAAAATTAAATTTCAAATTTAGGATAATAATTTAAAATTAATTATTTTTAAAAACCGTTATGAACCGGGTTAAACTGGTTCAAAATATTTATAACAGTTCGGTTCTCTCTTTTTATATTTTCTTTAAACGGTTCGGTTGCGGTTCAGAAAATTATAACGGGTTGTTAACGGTTCAGAAAATTTATTCGGTTCGTTTCACCGCGGTTCGGTTTGAAGCCTTGATTATTATATAATTTATAAAGTAGGAATGGGATAATTAGACAATTTTTTTAATCATATTTACAATAAAATATTTATAGTACATATATTTTAGTTAATGTAATGAATTTAATATTTTTTCCCATTTAATACTTAGGGTGAGACCTCATATGTAAGAGTTAAATCTGATGCTCGTTCTAGCCGAGATGGGCGGTCAAGTTCCAGAGGTTCTAGGCATAAACGTTCAAGAAGTACGAGCAGAGGTGGAAGAAATACCCGGGCTTCTCCTTCATATTCTCCAGCTAAGAGATCGCTTTCTAGGTCTCCTTATTGATGAAAATGGGAAAAGAGGTGGAGAGAAATGATTCTATTTTATTTAGACGAAATAATCTGTTCTTTTTGATTTAAAAAGTCTTTTTTTATAAATTTTGTTTTCTAGTAAACGTATTTTAAGATGTTTTAGTTTGGAAAAATATTTAAAAAATGGATGGAAAATGTTTGAATAATTATATATATTCCTTACCACTTTTTGTTACCTTACATTTCTATTGACGTTTTTTTAAATTTAATCTCAAGCCTATCTTATATGAAATTTTGGTTATTAGCTATTTAATACATATCTAAAATCTGATAAATTAAGTTATGGCTCTATTTTTTTCTATAATTTTTTTTTAGAAATAATATGGAAAAATTTATATATTCTTGTAAATTGGCTTGATTGGTATGTAATTGTTTGTATTTTTTTTATTACTGCGGATACTTGCTTGATAATGTAGATTTAACATTGTTAGGGTTTAATAATGTTCATTATTTAAATTTCATTCCTTTTCCTTTTTGTACTTTTACATCATTATGTTATTACATACTACAATATATTATACCAAACTGATCACTTTTAAACATACATTTGTATCTTTATCATATTAATTTTATACATTTTATTAATTTACATAAACCAACGTTTTCAAAATATTTACACATTTTCTCTCTATTTTTTTAGTTGTTCGAAAGGATCTCCTTTTATTCATAAAATACCTGTGGAAGGTTTTAAGTGGAATTTTGATTAGGACCTTAAATTCGTATTCCCTTATTCGAGGAAATTCTAATTAGATCTAAGGAAACATGGTGGAAATTATAACAGACCGAGCTGCTATAAATGAATGAATGAAAGTGTACATGGGAACTTTCTTATGTTGCGAATGTATGAATGGATTGATAGTTTGATAGAATCAAAATAAATAGTTATAAATATTTTCTATACTGCTTTTCACTTTAGTATTTAAATTTCAATTTTTTTAAAACTTTTTGTTTCCAAACTTATATGTATACTAGAGATCTGTAAAAGTAGGCCTAGGGCCGGGCTTAATGTATTTTAAGAAAATTCGGGCCTGGCCGAGTTGGGTCTTAAATTTTTTTTAAATATATTAAATTTAACAATTTTATGTTGAATTTTTTATGTAAAATAAAAATATGTGATTTTATTTATAGAAAGTAGACGCCATATAACATAAATCGTTTATTTTGAGTAATTATAAGAATTAATTTCTATATTTAAATAAATTCGGGCCGGGCTGGCATAATTTTTTTAAAAAAATTTCGGGATTGGGTCGGACCGGGCTTGAAAAATTAGGCTTGATGCAGATCACTAATGTATACTACTCAATAACTGAATAGTTTTTAAGGTAATTCTATGGCACCACGAATGAATGTACGAATGAATGAATAAATGTAAACGGTATTCTATGTATCGGCAAAAACAGGAGTGGATGGATATTCTTCCCAAGTTTTGTACGATAATTTTACTTTACTCTAAGGATATAGTCACGAGTAATTTCATTATGAAGGATTGCTTGCGATTATGGCCTATTCACCAAACTAACCCCTATGTGTTTATGCCTTCAGGACCTGACCTTTTTAATTATTCTTTACTTTTCTTATAACATTTTCGATGGATTATTCTTTATTCCTGGGAAAAATAATGATAAATAACCAATTCCAAGGAGGATTAAACGTATCTAATAATTTTCCAGTAAAATTTGATACAAATAATTAATTTTATAAAATATTTATCAGAAATAGGTCTACCAAGAAAAAATTACCACGGGCCGTTTTTTAGGATATAAATATTTTTAATAATGATAATTTAAATGAATCATTTAAATATTATGTGTAAGTATATATATGGTATAATATTATATAAATTATTTGTTGTGATATTTTTTTTACCAAATAAATAATTACTTGAATTTAAACGCCTGCTATTTTTGTTCATGCTATTAGTTTTTGTCTCTGTTGATGAATTATAGGAGCTGGGAAACAAAAGCAATTCATTTCCAATAAAATGTGATTTCGATATTTTGAGATAAACAATTTTTGTTAATTAAAAATCAACTACAGACCAAATTGAGGCTCTTCTAGATTTTAAAAATGCTAGCCTGATGTAGAAGGCAACATCTTGTGCAGGCTTTTTACTTTTTTTTAAGTTCGTATTTTTTAAGCATTAGAAATAATCTTTTGAATATTTATCATTCAATAATAATCGATTGAAAAATAAATTAGAAGAGTTATTAGACTGTCCATCCAAAAGTTAAAGTTACAAACTTTATATAATCAAAATAAATAATTAGGCAATTTTGTAAAGACATAAAAAATTTCCATAATTTGTTTAAGATTTAAACTTTTCAATTTTTTTTTTAAATAAATGAAAACCACAAAAATTTAACATTTAAATACAAACGGCACTTTATGTTAAATGTAGCCTATAAGTTTATAAATACCTTTTAAAATGTGCCGATCCCAAGTTCTTACGTATTTATGGATGACTGGGAAAGATGATTATTTTAGCAGTAAATAAACTAATAAATGTCTTTTATCACATAAGGTTTGGAAAACCACACATAATACTCTCACCTTTTGATGGTGTAAAATAGGAAGAATATAAAAATTACTACCTCATTTTTATTTGTATGCATAATATTTTGTAATTTCTTCTATAAATAATAGTATTCAAAAAAAATAGTGATGTTTCTTTCTGTAAATATTTGGAGAATATAAAAATTGAAATTTTATTAATTTTTATCAGACCTGCTTATTTAAAAATTGCACGGCCTGGCTCGTGTTTGTAAAAAAAATTTCGGACATGATTATTTAACAGATTTTATTTTTCTACCTAGTCCATATTATACAAAAACAAAATTTTCGGCCCAGTTTGAATGTATACAAACAATTTTTTACATATATAAATTTGGCATTTTATGGTTCGCTTTTCATCCAATAGGAAATAAATTTTCATAACTTATAAAATTATCCATATTTTAAAAAGAAGATTATTTTTTATTTAATACCAATGAAAAAGTACATGTTCATTTTTGGTGAAATGCATTTTATTTTGTAATGTATTTTTGTATTATATAATACCACAATACAATTTAAAAAATATTACATTTCTATTTTAAAAATTTTATTTAGGCGAATTATCATAAAATCTTCTAAAATTTCGTCATTAAAACTTGCACATAGGTCCAACAATATAAATTTTAATGATGAGAATGATGGTTCAACGCTAACTTACTAATTTATTAAGTTAATATAATATATGTAATGTGAACTTTTTTTGGTGTAGAACAATTTTCGCCAACATATATAATTCTGGATAAATTAAACTACTAGAAGTCTAAAATATTTCCTTATTGATTTTGTGAAAAAATTTCTAATAATGAGCTAATTTGAATCTGTTCACTTTGATGCTGTATTAACTTAATTTTTTTTTGCTAATAGCAATTTTTCAAAATCATTTGTAGCTAAAATTAATGTTGAGGTATTCAATAATTTAATGATTTATTTTTTACCCATAATTCTGTTAAATGAGTTCTAGCAATCTCTTCCTGATCAATGGTTAATAGGATTTGATATTTGGATCTGGGGTCTAAATATAGTGATGTTTAAAGAATATTATTATTTAAATAAGTATCCTCCCTAAATCTTATATGCCATCTCATTGGAAATATTATTGCCTATCTTTTCCAATTCTAAACGACATTTTATCCAAATTCCATAAAAATCGGAGTCACATTTTCTCCGATTGTAGCCTTAAAATTGTCACCTTAAATGGTTTCAAAACTACACTTATGTTAGCTATTGAATCCCATTCTGTTTCTTCTAGAATAACTTCCTATATTGTAACAGTCCATTCAAAAATCTTTCAAGTTATATAATCGGTCTAGCATATCGCAAACCGATGACCATCTTGTAGAATCAATTATTGCCATAGGTTTTTTCAGTGATTTCAAGATTCTATTGGAGTTCTTAAAATTTTTATCACTTGCCTTTAGTCAGTCAATAATTGATTACTTGTCTTTAAAAATCATTAATGGTTAACTGGAATAACATTTTAGTTAAATAGTCTTTCAACATCTGGGCTAGATCTACTATTTCTTCATTTATTATCTCATCATCCCAATTCTCCCCTTCCGCAGATTAATTTAATAATCTTATGGACTTGATTAAATTGTTTTTATAGTGTAAAAGTTGTTTAATGGAATGCCGAATTTATTCAGGGTTTCTAAAATCATTTTTTATAAATTATCTCATATCTATTTTTTTCATTACCAAATTTTTAATATGATAATATTACCTTTAACACACTGAATATTTATTACCAGAATGCTTATAATCTAATCGTTTAGCATAATCAATTTTTAAAAACCATTTATTTTTTGTTTCTCTTTATTTTTCTCACTATTTTTTAGACTCATCTATAATCAAGTTTCTAATTTTATAACAATTTGTGGACATACCCAGGCTGAGATTCGACCAAGCCAGGAGAAGAAAACCCGGGTTTTGAAAAAATACTTAACCCGAACAGCCCCGTTAAAAAATTTACAAAACTCCGAAACGAATCCGGGAATTTTTAAATCCTGGTTCGTTCGGGGAATATTATTAAAAATCATATATTAAGATATTTGTAAAATTGTAAATAATAAAAATTTAATGAGACTTTTTAATATTTTCAATTTATTTAAATATAAACGATATAAATTCTAAAATATTACAGATATTATTTATAGAATAGGATTTAACCTATATGGTGATTTAGAGAAATTGATACAATTTAAAGAGGGGCAAGAGAAAATATTGCAAAATAAATAAAAATTTTATTTTTTATATTAAATTTATTTCTAGTTTTTTAATTATGATTTCAATATATAATTTTTTTTATCAATCAAAAATTTGTAACCCGAGCTGAACCCGGAACTAAACTCGGGTTCAAAAATATCCCACTGAACCGAACCAAATTACTTTTTTTACGTAATCTGCTGGAATATCTAGGTAGCAGCATATCTCTGCCCTAGAGAATCCTTGTTTCCTATCGATGGCTGCTTCTATTTTGCTATCTGTAGCATCAGCATATGTATCGCTTATCTTTGGATATAAAATGTTGCTTTTTTAAGAACTTGATCGATGTGGAATAAAGCATTCTAGTGTTATTTATTACTGCAAAGTAAAGAGTGGGTAGTTTTTGACATGCCGTTGATAGTGTACGAAAGGTTTATGAAACTCAATATTTTAGCTGTGTATAAATCGACAATTTGCATACCCACCCGAATGCACATTTTGAGGATTAAGACCCTTTCCATATCTCCTGTTCCATTTAGACTCCCTTTTTTCTAAAGTACAAGCGTAGCTACAATAAAGTATTGCGATTTCCTCTAAAGTAACTATTAATTTTTATTCTTTTAAGAGGAAGTCCAACTAGGTAGTATTTTGGTTATGTTAATTATGGCCCACATCTAATCTTTCCAAAATACCAAATTGTCATCAAGATATCAAGAAAATAAATTATAACACAAAATATTTATTATTAGGTAGTAACTCTTTATAGATATACATAGTATTTATTATAATATCAAAGATTGTTAATTATTTGCTATAGAATAAAAGAATATTTT